GACTAAAGACAATTAAATGCTATCTGAAGATTGGGCAGAGCCGTTGACTTGAGGACGACGCGGTTTTAATCCGTCTGCCGCTCTGTAAATTTCCACTTCCATGAGGGCGCTGGCAGAGTCTTTCACTTTGCACGTATCGTGTGCGCGTGTAACTCAAGCCCTTGACACTGAGCACGATCGCGAACATGACCAGTTCGGAAAGCAGGCTGCACCCAAGCTGCCCTCAGAGCCAGCTCTGAGCTAGCTGGCATTCAAAAAATGTTTCATTACCTCACTTTATCGCAGCCCCGGTTTAAAAAAAAATAAAAACTCAAAGCGTACCACATTGTCACCATTACTCAGATGTGTGAACACATCCCTGAACAAAAAAATTCCACATAAAAAAATAAGAATATCATATGATAATGCCACATACTGATTTCAAAATAACTAAGAGTGACTGTCATAAGTAAACAGATGTAAGACTCCCAGCTAGGCAATATGGTGAAATGTTTAGGCCCCAATTTCTGCCTGATTAATTTATACTGATTTAAGTTATTTACTGCTTAACAGTTTGTCCTAAAAGTTCCTCACCTTGTCCAGTATACTTAAGATGCTGTTGATACCAGTGGTATTATTCCTCTTTACTTTCAGCCTGGGGTGTGGGGTTGGGCATAAAAGACTTCTAACCAGAAAAAGGCATTGTCAGGCAAGTCGAATACTTGCCCACTTTGTGTCTTGGTCCTTGGGGTAGACGTGAGTCACTGAGCACTTACATAATGGCCCTATTTTTGGACTGTGTACATCAATCGAAGGTCTTGAAAATGAAATCCTTTCTGCCCTCGTTTGATTTGGTGATTCCAAAGAGAGTCAGCATCTAAGATTACCTGCTACAAGCTGCTCGAAAGCAGCACCAAACATGACACAGCCACCCCCAAGACGTTTATTGCGAAAGCAAACCCTTCTGCGTTCCGTAACGCTGTGCAGCACGGAGGGGTCTGCAGAGGGGGATATTTTAGGAAGCTCGAGGGCGCTTGACGCACGTAGACACGGGCCCACGTGCAGAGCGGGTCAAGCGGGGATTCGTCAGCGGGCTTCTGTTTCAGTCAAAGCCTCCGCGAAGGTGATAGAAGGGCACGTTATGCCCTCCCCAGGTAACGCTCCTCCCAAGTCGAATCACTCCCCCCTGGTTATCGCCACCGTTTCATGTTATCAATCTGCTAATGTCCCACTTACAGGAACTCCCAATGTTTCTCTGCAAAATGATATCAAGACATTTCAGCCTGTTGAGCTAGTCACTTTCTAAGTATGTGCTTGTTCTAGAATGCCTTGTATTTAAATAAAAGTTTATATCACACTATATTCAAACTGTCTAATATATTTCACCTCATTTAGGTGTCCCAGTAAGACACGATGCATTATCTGACATTTTTATTTTGTTAAATTCTTTGGCTCATACTGGTATCCAAAGAGTTATCTTCCTAAAGCAGTGTTTCTCCCACAGACGGTCCATGTTTTTGCTCCCTCCCAGCTCCCTGCCAAACAGTCGATGACATTACTGCTCCCTCCCAGCTCCCAGTAGCAAAAACATGGGACTGTCTGGGGGTCCCCGGGGACCGGATTGAGAAACACTGTCCTAAAGGCATGTTATTGTACCTCCTAGTTCAAAGGTGGTTGTACTTGTGGCCTTTCCATCCATCACGTTGAGCATTACTCTTTATTGTCCTAACAATATGACTGACAGCAGTAACTCTGCAGGCAGTGCAGGCGGACATTGTGCACGTGGACAGTAAATTCCCAGGAAACCACTGAGGTGATTAAAGGTATACTGTAAGCAGTGTTTCATCCTTTCTGACCTTTGTGCGGCTGCCTAATCCCACACGAATGGGTGCTGTGCTCAGGCTAACCGGGCCACAAAGAAAATGCACAACTTGCTACCACATTACACATTGCTAGAAAACGTTATTCATCGGGTGTATTATATACGCACAAACGTCACTCTGATGAACGGTATTAATCTTACAGGCTCAAAATCCAGAACGCGGTCTCGCGAATGCCGCTGCAATAACAATTAATAAAGATCCATTATCTAAAAAGGCTGCGAAAAAAAACGCCACCACAAAGCTCTAAAGCAGGAACACCCGGCATGAAAGATCATAAAACAGTTCGCATTTCATGCTTATGTTTTCAGCCAATTCCATCTTGGGAAGGAAAAACAACTGACAACTTATCTGTCTTAAAAGCCTGTTTTTTTTTTTGCTTAATTTTCAATGACAGAAGTGGATTTTGTGGTCCAATAAAATCAATAGCGAGCCAGCCAGCTGGCAAAACAGTATCCTTAGACTCTTGCGTACTGACATCCTGCCATCCAACCGACTACCTGCTAATTCAGAAGAAATCTCAAGGCCATTAACCCACACTGTTGCAAACCATTATGCTCAGCAAGTTGTTTGCTTCGGATACCTTCGGTTTCACTTATATTTGTTTACAAGCCTGCACTGCAGAACACAGGAAGCAGCGCCAGGATCTGCGTTACAAAAAGTCAATTTCCCCTAGAAATTCTGCCAGGCCCAAAAAAGACCAAATCCAAACAAACAAGACCCTAAAATTATCATTAAGTAAACATAAGGCTGAACAACAGGTAGTTCATATGTGAAATGAGCTGTCCGCTTTAACGCGGAAAGAGATGGGGGCGGAGCTTGCGCTCTTGTATTGATATAGTGGTTTTTAAGATCTCACATGCTTGTGCCTATGTCGGACCAAAGGCAGAGTTTCCCTTCCCTTTCCTGTAACAGGCTCTGGGTATTACATAACCAGCCTGTGGATGAATGCTGCTTGACTTGGAAAGAGGAAAGTGCTTGGAATTTGTGTATCTGCCCGAACAGACTGAATGCAAAGCTCTCTGTAGATGCTGTCAGAAGACGGTACAATATAATTCATTCTTCGTAAAGGCAACATATGTATCTGTGAACTCGAGCAGTATTACCAAGTCACGTTTTTTATGTTGCTGTGTCCCCTGAGAATGAGCACTAATTGTATATCTCACTGATAGCAACAGTCCGCTTTGATCACTCGAGATGCATTTGATGACACACGGCACAGACATCGACATCCGTAAGAAAAGAAAAACCTTTTCCTTATTCTGTGTACCCGTCAAATAAATGTCGACGGATGACAAGTGCTTGAACTCCAGTAACTGTTAATAATTTCGCGTCTGCCACGTGTCTAACTTTCGATTTTAGGTAATACTTTAAGACACACACTAAAAGTGGTGAACAAAACAAGCCGCTCGACACTTAACAGGAAAAAGCGTCGCAAGTATTCAAAATCGTCAGACCAATTGGAAAACCCATATTTTAAAACAAAACACAGTACTTACCGACTGCATCGTGTTCAATGGGAAGCGATAATGAAACAATCGCTTGTCGCATATATAGTTCAATACCCGTATTCAAGATTTTAAAAACTCAGCCTTTACCATTAAACAAAAACGTCACATTAACTAAGAGTGGAAACAGTTCTACTAGGCAGCTAGACGATAATTCACCTTTTAATAATATTAATCAATCTTACTTGTCCTTTTTTGAGGGGTTGTGTATGTTTTTTTTAAACTTGCCATTGTTATCTGCTCATTTATCCATCTCTTCCCTGTCAACACTTACAAGTCCCGTCAATGTCACGGTATCCGAAACACTCTTGCCCAGTGAATATATATAGAAAACACGGCTATTATTCTGGAGCAGCATAAACATGTCAATGTCTTTGCTTAAATGACCAGCGGATCGTATATGGTACGGTAATACGTGTAGGTGCCAGGGCTGGATGCATTTATTACCTAAGACGAGTTACCAGCAATGCATTTGTTGTAATTCAAATCAACGTGGGCTGGAAGAAGCGCATTTTCGTGTGGACAGTATTCACATATCTGGCAGCGCAGAATGTGCAATGGAGTACTTTGTAAGAAGAAAAAAAAGCACCATCTTAAACATCACGTACATCCGCACTTGTACGACTCGTTTTTTTCCAACGAAATATGAAGAACAACCAGTTATTGCTTCAAAGCCCGCTACACAACATTGTTGCATAGGCTGCACAGATAATGTACTGCAATAATATAGGCTACAGAAAGAAATCCATTTCCTGTTTTTGTGTGCGTTTCTGTTTATACATCAATTCCCCTTAATTTATTCTGGCCCTGTTTGTAAAACATCACTTCCTCGCGTGTATAGTTATTTTTCTGGCCGCTTTTGAGATAAGGAACGCTCACCTCAGTTCACGTTATTTAAAATGAACTTAACAGGTAAAGAAACCTGCGCAAAAATCAATGCAATGAGCTTCACGTACAGAGTCGTCGATATTATTGTTACATACATGTGTTTTCGGGGCATCGTTTAAAAGACCTGTTTCCCCGCCGCCGTCTAAACATCTCACTCATCGCGCGTCTATGCAACTTCAGCTTAAGTTTATCTGGTAGTCGAACATTGCAAAGTGACATCTGTGCTCAGATATGCTTCCTATTTATGAAGTTTCGCACACGATACACAACATACATTAACGACCGTGGCGGCGGATCCACAGCCGCTGATATCTGGAGACCTTCCCTTTACTTCATACTTAGCATTTGCTTCCTTATTGCAAACAACGCGATATAGTTCAGTTAAGAAGAGGAAAACGGTCCAGTTATGACAGTAAAGGTACCACTTTTAGAGTACACTTTAGTAATAATAAAAAATATAATAAAATAGCCAACTAATAGGTTAATGCAATATTACCGCCTCTTAACTAAATGAATGGTACCCTAAAACGAATAAGCCTTCCTAATATGTAGAGGCATGGTAAGAAAATGAAGTTTGTCGCAGAAATATAAGCTAAGTAAAAAGTAAATAAATTTAAAAAGTGTATATAGATATACATACTTTTTTGTTTTTAGTGAAATTGTAATTACATTCATGTGCAGTTGATCTTTTGTTACCTGTAACGGGTTTCCTTTTATTCCTTTGGAAGAAAGCTGTCACTTGTCTATTGTACGATGTCTGGGCGCTGAATAACAGAATTTAGGCAGTAAATTTAATTTATAAGGCTTTCTTTCTGACCTTTGTCTCTTAAAATGGGTGACCATTAGACATCAGCATGAGTGGAAAAACACCGGCCAGCCTCCAGCGGAGTAGGATCCGTCTTCTTAAAGTGGCAGATTCAAATTGACGTCGCTCGCTTTATTTCCCGTTCACACGCAAATAACTCGTTGACGGCCAATACAAAAGATATGATAAGAGCTATGGAAAAGTACCCGCGAATCTACCATAAACATATAAACATCACGAGTAAAAACTGCAAAGAAATACATGCATGTGTGCTTAAATGTAGCTAGTTTACTTAATAATAATAATTATATAGAGAATATAGAGAGTACAGTGAATAATAATGAAGTGCTCAAAAAGGTGCATATACTCAGCTCAGTGCAGAGCATATATTGCAGAACATATAGGCCTAATATATTCCAGAAGAGTAATCAATAGCAATTATTGTAGATAATTCTCAATTATTGTGGTAAATGTATCTAGTCTAACTATCGAAGTGAGCAGTGCTGTTCAATTTGAAAAGCTGAAAGGGTGAAGTACTGACCTCACGCTTCATGAAGTAAGACAGTACAACTACAAGTTAAGAATTTTGTTTAGATACCACATCCAAAGAAATCATCAACCATTTCTACCATCAAAATTAATATAGTTCAAAAATGTATACTTCATGTATAGTAGAAGTGTTTTTATTCATATCATCAATTTTTTACACTCCTGTTCCCAGTCTTTTGCCGTGCGTCCCCACCTTATAAATATTAGTGGATTTTCCAGATGATCACTTGCATGCACAGTGGGGCTAATCCTACACTTGCATAACTTTTATTTCAACATATATTCTTGTGGCAGCAACACTTCAGTGAGCATGCTTAAGCAGCTGTGATTAAGACACATCAATAGCAATTATGATAGCCATCTCTGTAAAATAAATAACAACAGTAACTTTCTAATTCACAGGATTTCATTCGGTCTTAATACAAACACACCACAACTCTGCACTGTACAGTAAGTGGGTGGAATATGTATGTATGGATGGATGGAAATATGCATGAAACAAGGTTCAGGAGGTTAATAGGCTGAATGAACTTTTAGGTAATGTCAGCACTGTCATAGGACTGGATTTGGATTCAGAAAGCGATGTTGGAGGGAAGATTGCAGTCCGAATTGTACTCCATTATGAATGAAGGGGCCCATCTTCCCAAAAGAGACTCGGTGTGGATAAGGACCACATGTATGGAGTATTTGTACCGAGAGTTATTTCCTTTGTCTGGATCTATAAAGTTCTGTTTTCTGTTATTGACTATTAATTCAGCAGTCATAACTACAAATTTCTAATCTAAAATATACTCCAGTTAAAGAGGTCTACATCGTCCTTCTATTCTTTTATCCTGGACAGCATCTTGGGGGGCCTGAAAAGGTATGACACAAAATTCAGAGCACCTGATAGAAACCTCAATGACCCAGGGACTCACACACTGGAGGTTGGATTTAAACCTCACACATGTTCAGTTATATTCAATAGGACAAGTTGTTTGATGATTTCAGAAGAAGATACACATCAGTGTCTACAGACGCACAGGTATGTTTTTTTTTCACAGGAAAATCAAATAAAGAACTGAATCTAAGTGTTCAAAACTATTTAACACGCAGTTAAATATGTTTTGACCTAGAATTGACCCTTGTGGTACTCCATTGCTTTTATAAACGGCTAACCACTTTATGTTTATAGATTTGTATGTGGGCGCAAGGTGAATGTTTGTATTTTTTTTTTGTGGGCACGACCTGCTAGGCAGTCATACCATACAGGGCCCTGTAAGGACATGTCAAAATGTAAACTTTAAACAAGCAAGATCCCTTCCTGTTTGCTTGCATAATGTTTACTTGAGAGGACTGAAGACCTGTGCCAACATTTCTCTGCGATTCTTTAATCTACAACATCGCTTTCTGCAGTCTCAGATCTGCATACGAACATAAACTCAAATAAAAATGAGTAAGAATCCTTCAGACACAAATGAGTACCAACACATAATGTCTACATAACTCTGGATCAGTAAATAACGGCACAATCTGGAGTGAATGAGAAGGTGGTAGATAACACCAACATTACCAAGAAACCCTAATATGACCTACGATGGCCTTCCTGATTTAATGGAAACACTCAATGTCGTGAGACACTATTACAACTCCCATCGGCATTATAGTGGTTCTTGATGCAAATGTTTGTGTGATTGTACAGGCGAGACGCTTTGTTCTCTACATGGGGATCATAGCATTAATCTCTGTCTCCTGCTTTGCATGGTGAGGCTGTGACACAGTAACAAGGACAGGTGCCTTGCACTAAAGCGCTGGAGATCTTCAGCGTCACCAAATCACTATCCTGACGTACAGGGCTGCTGCAACTTTCACTTTTGCACGAGTGAAATTAAAAATACCATCCAAACAGTGACAAGACATACAACCGATTAAATATTCCAGTGTACAGAGCACTTAGTTATTCTCTAAAGGTGTGTAATAGTGTTCAGCTTAAGATCTCTTTCATTCGAATGTGTGCAAAGCGTGATGTAACACATGGTTACGGCCTTCAGACAGACTAAATTACTGAATAAGTTATCACTGCCAAAGGCCGCCTGCCCACTGTCATCAAGTAAGATAACATTACATAATCTCATAATTCATAGGTCACAACCACTGGTGGCTTCAGCCCATCCTGAATGAAGTGTCCAGTGCTGGGAGGTATTTAGTCCTACAAGAGAAGGAGCAAATTGTATTTACTGATCACAAGGCTCATGGTGTCATCATGTGATGCCTATTTTAATTCAGCTTCTTTCTCTGTTGCCAGTAAGCATTGTAGATGAAGACAATAAATCAATATGCAGAACCTTCCAGTAAATCCTAGTTTGTAAAGAGGCTAACCCGGAAAATAAATTCACATACATTAATTGCGTTGTTTTTCCTGAATTACTAAGGTATTTTACTGCTGCTTTGATCTCCATATATAAGGGGAAAAGGGTAGATCCTGCATTGCCCTGGGATAGCGCTGGGGACTCTTTGTGTAAACGTGAATATAATCAGTGATTATTTGCCTGTTTCTTTGCCTCTGATATGCAAACTGCAAACAATCTCCTGCGACTGAGGGTGGAAAAAGCAACATGCGAGTACCGCAGCAAAGCACCACATCCTTCACTATTTGAATCCTGCTTTGAATCCACTCATGATTCACCTGCTCGCGATTTGCCGCTGCGTGGCCCTGCCCAGACAGGTGAGTCAAAGGCAGGTCACGCACCTGGGAAAATTTTGGGTTGAACTATATGTTCAGTAATTGTGAGAGGGCAATGAACCTGGTTTGCTTTTTTGTCCAGCAGACATGATCAGATACACTACATTTTGGCAACACCAGACAAAGCTGTTGCTAATGACGTGTGAAGAAAAGGACAGCCACGTTATAAACATCACGTTACATTTTTTTCAGCAGCTGCTTGTATTTCAGGCAGGATCACATGCAATTTTGGTATAATACTTTTTCTTTATTTTGCAATTTTTTGTTATTTAAGCTACATTAGTAGCAAAGGTGATGGTGAAACAACTAAGAATGCACCAGTTGCACGTGGCAAATAATTATCTCGACTCTTGAAATGTCGTATTATCCCAGCTGTGTTTCAGTAGAAAAAGAAAACCACAACATTCCCCCCTGTCACCTACTCTGCTTTCAGAACATATGTTTTTATGTACAGGTTGTATATGTTTTTTTCTTTCATCAAAATATTAAATATTTAGTAACGCTTTACATTTAGTGCACCATCATAATGCATCTATTATGCATTCATAGAACATTCAGTGCACCTTCATAATGCATTCATAGAACATTCATAAGCAGCATGCAAGTACACTTTAACATCCTAACATCCCTTAACAGCTTTAATATACATTAATAACAAACATATACAATTATAATGTTTGTTATTAATGTATATTACAGCTGTTAATGGATGTTTAGGTATACACACATGATGTTTATGAATGTTTTATGAATACTTAATGAATACGTTACGAAGGTACACTGAATGTTTCATGAATGCGATATAAAAGTATTATGAAGGTGCACTTAATGTAAAGCGTTACCAAACATTTAACAAGATCCAATATCGAATGTAATATTTGAGTGTTGGTGAATATTTAAGGGCAAATATGTATAAAGATACAAATATATGAGCAGGAATAAGGGCAGTGTGTGACTGTGTGAGTTAGTATTCTGTCCTCGTGATCAGAATGTCACTGGTTCATATCTCAGGGTAGGCAGAATGATGTCACTGTTGGATCCTTAAGCAAGACCCTTAGCCTGAACTGCTCCAGGAACTGGCTGACCCTGCGTTCTCAATGTCGCTTTGGAGATATGCATCTGGTGAATTAATAAAAAGATGTGGAGGCAGGGGATATTATAATAATATATGGCTCTAGTTAGTTCTAGACCCATTGATGCATAGAATCAAAAGACCTGGGAAAAAGCAGGACACCAAATGAAATAGATGAAAATGACAACTTCCACCTGCTTGATTTCAAGTTTCAAATGTAAAACATGCAACTCTGCAGTGGTTCAGAACATGTAATATTCATAATCCATTAATCAAACAAATATCGTCCGGGCATGGCTGAGGTCATGCGAAAAAAATCCTGATTGTTACAATGGTTGCGACAGAGTAGCAGGTATTGGGGTTGAGTCCTTACTGACAGCTACATTACATTTATCATGCATTTATCCAAAGAGACCTAAAATATTACATGTTTATACAACTGGATGTTTTTGCATTGATACAAGATATTTCTGAAGGCGGTGATAATGCCTTTCAGCCTGCAAGTCCCTAACCTCTGTGTCTCACAAGCACGGTGCACGGTCACGTCACTGTGTGGGGAAAGCCGCATCTGCAGGATTTACATATTTGTATGTTTCAAACTGCTAGATAAAATAAGCTCTGTAAAAAAAAGTGAGCAGTTGCAGATTAGTTAGTGAAAATGTGGTGCGGGTGATTAGTTTAATTAACA